GGGTATGGGGTGGGTTACTACTCTACTACAACCACCCAAACTCCCTGAACCCCCGGATCTAAACGCCTGGGGCCTGCGGCCTGGCCAGTTGTGACGTGAAACGCTCTCTGTGACATTCTCCGAGTTTCCCAACTCTGGAGGCACGGGAAAGTTTTTTCCCAGCTTCATATGCCGTAACAGATTCCATGCAAAAATTGATCACCATGCAAAATTCGATTTTTCGATGACGTTGACGATGTTTCGATGCAGCAAGCTTGTTGCGCCATGGATCTTAGTGGACCGGTCAGTCATATTGAGAAAATGTCTGCGATAAGTTTAGATATGACGGCGTCGAACGCGGGTCCAAGTCACGCAGACGTTTTCACTTGCCGGCAGCCCGTCCGCGTTGAGAATGCGAGGTATGTCCAGATACTGGATTGTGTCTATCCTCGCCTGCGTGTCGATTGTATTCTCGCAACGGGCCCATGCTGTTCTGAGTTTGAGTCTGTGCCCGGCTACAGAGATGCAGCGAGGTGAAAGGCGAGTTCAGCCCGGCGATGGTAAACTACGTCTCGAAGCGAATCAACGACCGGCACCCAGCCTTTGGTCCGGGTTGCAGAGTGTTTGCAAGGGATGTCTTGGATGCTCAACAGCCATGTGAGGTCAAGGTCAACTGTATGTTCATCAACTGCCCCAAGCATGATTTTAAGCATCCGCTGGACAGAATGGGTGGCATTGGAGCTCAGCATTGTGTTGGTGGATTTGCAGGCAGGAGCCGTGGGACCGTCAACATGTTGTCAAGGTGTTCGCGTCATCCTGAACTCTGAGAAGCCGGATCCGCAAGAACCTGAGCATCACGGATTTGAGCGGTCTGCGGTGAGCTGTTGCGTGTTCCGTTGAAGGTTTGAAATGGACGCAGGCACGTCGCCTCGGATTCGGAGTCGAAGTCCTGGGATCCGACACGAGAGCCATGAGCCATGGCAGGTGCGGCACCAGCCTCGTGGACGTCGCCTCCATCCGGTGGGGGTTTAGGGGAGCTAAACTGAAGTCCTCCAACAACATGATCGGCATTTGTTCAGGACCTGACGATCAACTTTACCTGCCATTGAGAAAGTTTGATGAGTCAAAGGACCTGCAAAGCAGTCCTCGAGCTGCTAATGCCGTTGGCATTGGCGATTCCAGCTAGAGCACGTGGCAGTCAAAGCTGCTGCCCTTTGTGGCGACTTACATCTTCAAGTGGCCTCCGCATTCCAAAGGAAGGCACGGCCCACCTCAGTCCCGCACAGGAACAAGTGTGTGAAGTATGTTCGCACTTTGCGTCTCAGCACAATCTGGAAGGCTACCAGAAGTTGTTTCATTGCAATGAACATCTTTGTTTGTACAAGTACATGTTGGCGACAATACATGGTCCAAGATTATGCTTTGAGCCTTGACTTAGGCAGGATGAAATGGACAGTTCCTAATTGTAAACGTTTCGCGTCGTCGAGCCGTCCGCCTCGGCCCGGCATTGGCACAGGCGGTGTGGGTGGGGGAGGGGCGAAGGGGATTCTTGCTCAGACTGCAACCGAAATCCATTGCCTGGCCTGTGAAGTAGCTGGGAGCGGCAGACAGGAGATTCCTGTAGAAAGCTCTGACCACGTAGGCCGGGTCGAGCCGAATGTTTGTAAGCTCCACTCATGCTCCCAAGCCTGTGATTGTTCGGGCTTGCCCTTGGGTCGGCAAACGGAAGCCAGCAATGTTGTGGTGCATGGAAAGGGTTCTTGACAACCCGTGACACCGACAATCAGTAAAGCACCGAATGCCAACGTTCCGGCCGACAGCGACAGCATCCGGTGGCAAGTGTTACCTCGTGTTTCAGCGTCACATCATGCCTTCATGACTTCCAGCCAACAGACCAACTCAGCATGAGTGTGGGACCTGTACTTCAGCCTGTTGGTTAACCCTGCGTGCCTTTCAAACCAATCTTTTGGCGGGAAATATCTTTCCCAACCAGCCCGGCGTGTAGCACACAGTGACGGCACATGCCCTCTCAGGCAAGAGGCTGTCTTTGGTATTGGAAGCTCCTGGCATCTCCTCGCCAAGAGCGATGGGTAGATCAAACAAAGCTACTGGTAACTAACGGCAGGATCTGCGGTGGTTCCATGAATCCCGGAAATGTTTGCGAAATGGAGACAAATAACCACAAGGTCAACTAAGGCTGAGTCGCGGCATGCGCTCAGTGGTACCTCGAAAGATCTGAAAACACGCTACCCGCTGTTCGCTGGTCTTTCCTGGATTCACGGAATGCCTTTAATGCTGTTTCTGTTGCCTTTTCTGTTCACCAAACAGTGCAGCACGCAATGTGGGTTTTTACCTTCAGTACAGAGAATTGGTCAGTATCCTTGCGAGGCACACACGGCGGCGCATCTGGAATATATCACCTTCCCGCTGTGGTGCGGTGCATGGTTTGCCTTCATTGTGCAAGCGCGATTCATCATGTAATGATAATCGATATGAGATTGGATCTGAAAGCTTCAATAATCAACATGGCCTCGGAATGCCTGAATCCCACCGGTAATTACATTAGCCGAAACTTCTTGGTCGCCTCTGAATCCCGCGAGTACATGGGTTGAAGCATGTCGGCGGTGGTCCTGAATCCTGCCAGTACATTGGGGAAGCATGTTGCTGAATCCACCAGTACACGCCCTTTGGTCGCGGCCATGAATTCCACTCCTGGACATGTTGTCCATCTTTCTGAATCCGCCAGTACATAGCAGAAAACATGCTGGTCGCTGTCCTGAATCCTCCCCGCACATGGCCAAATGGTGGTCTCCTGGTCATCTCCTTGTGGTTTCTGGTGGTCTCCTGGTGGCTCCTGGCAAGCCTGGGGGGTCGTGATGGGCGTGGTCGTAGTAGTCGTCGGGTTGTCGTGATGCTGCATCGCTGTTTGGGGATTTATGCTGGCTTACTGTTTTAGTCGACCCTGTCGTAGGCCTGTCTTAGGGCAAAGAGTTTCAATCATCTTGAGAGCAGCATCAGAGCCACACACCTCAATCGTGGCAGGGTGCATCGGCGCAATACACCTTGCGGTAGCGACAGCTTGCTCTCACAGGGCTTCTCAGCAGAATAAACAAGGGCAGTGTGTAAGAGTGATGCTTTTTGTGAGCTTCCTTGTATTTCGTTGTGTGTGCACGGGCTTATGAGTTTGCCCAGTAAAGGCAGTCGTGGATCACACTAAATCGAGACATAGTTTGAAGCCAAGCAGTCCTTCATCGAGAATGTTAAATGGGTCGCCACAGCTGTGCGGGCTCAAAGAGTGAGCTAACCTGGACATGGTCACTTCCTGCAAGGTGCAAAGGCAGGAATTTCGTTTTGTCGCACTGGCGTGATGGGAATGGTGATTGTAAGTTCGACACGTGTGAAGCAGGCCGCCGCAGCAGTGATGGGGGATGATGTCGCAACTAAGCAGGCCGGCCCATGGCTGCCGATAACTTGGCTCAGGGCCACTTCCCTTGCATCTCATAAGGCCCGTCGGCCAGTGATGTCTTTTGCTGGCGGCATTCCACATTGATGTTCGGTAGATCGGCAGATCCTTGGTGTGCCGGCTACGCCCTGCAACAGCTTCCCGCCCTGACGCTTTGGAGGATTGCCAGGATCACTGGCAAGCAGCATGTTGCACATTCTCAGGTTAAAAGCACTCGGCGTGTGCGGTCAATGTGAAATGCAATAAGGAGCGCGCTTACAAGAATGATCCTGTCAGCAACTATCGCAAAATCGATGAATGATTCAGCACTATGCACCGGTGGGGGCGGTGCAGAGTAGCTCTTGGGTGGCTTTTGCGTCAGGGTGATGCTGTCTGCAGCAGGTCTGCGGTACTCGTCCTCAGTACCATAGCCAACCAGCCAGGCAAAGAACACAATTCTGACACAAGCCCCGGAGTCAGCCACAAAGCAGAATCCTTGGCAATAGTCCTTCTGTGAGGGGCAAGGTGCTTCTGTCTGCAAGACAAGAGTACTTTGCGCCTCACCCCTTCACTGACTTGCCGGCTTCCTTTATGTCCCGGTTCCTGTTCGGCTGGTCGGGTTGCGTGCCACTCCGCATGTTGAATTTTCCGTCTAAAATTCACAACCTTGCGAGGCGTGAATGGTCGTTGGCTGTTTTCGCCATGCACAATAGGTCTCCTGCAGTTCTTAATGTTCGCCCTGTGAGTTGCGAAGGTCTTGGACTCTATGGACAAGCTCCATGGTGCGTCCCGAGCTCGCGGGGTCTTACAACACTTCGTTCCGACACTCTCTCAGGCCGTTGTTTCCCAAGAAGCTTCCACAGCGAAGCCAGGGCTAAAGGTGATTTGAGAAAGTCTGGCTGAACACAACCTCTGTTAGGTCCAATTTTGTGAACTTTGCGGCCTACTCTTGGCCACGCTTTACGTTTGTTTCGGCTGAGACTTGCGCGCCGCGGAACATGTGCTTGTGCCAGGAACATCTTCCGCTATATAGGTGACTACCTTCATTTGGGTGGGACTTGCCCTCAGTGCGAGATGTGTACCGCCAAAGGTTCACAGCAGCGAATTACATTCAGCGCGGTGCAACCGACTGAGGATACTGACACTTCTGGTTACCATTGTGAAGAACAAGTCAGTGGCAGGGATTTCAAGGTACACACATTTTCCGCGAGCTGGAGCGCTCAAGCTTGTAGGATGCGACCATGTCATCCAATTGGGCAGGACAACGCAAATCTTGTACTGCATTGTCTTCTGCACCCGGTGCAACTGCATAGCTCCTGTTCATGAGGCATTCGGGGTAGTGGACCTTCTGCAGATGATGTGTTTCCAGGTATCTGGACTTGTTCGATCACACGCAATCCTTTTATCTCGTGTTTTTCAAGCTAACGTGACCTGGTGGATCCGCAGTCCCGGACTATTTGGGGACAAGCCACACTGACACTGTCGTCAGGTATATTGTCACATCCATCATTGTCTTAGTTTGCTTCTACCAGTTCGACAGCACCTATGCACGCAGGCATCGAGTGAGCGAACTCCCATAGACATGTCCTGTTGTGCCTGTGCCTGCTTGAGGCACGACACCTGCAATTTGACGATAATCCTGGTTCCTTGTACGATCGCCGCGCTGCTTCTCACCAGCGACTATTCCCTCCTAGAGGCATGCCACCCCCATTCCAGTCCTCTGCCGCAGTTCCCGATTTCCAACCTGACTGCAGGTCTTGTGGACGTTTTCGGAGTTCATTGAGGGCTTTGCTATGGCCTTCATCTCAGCATTGCAAGCCAGTGCAGGAAGCGCGCGAGCTGACCCCACCTGCCACCTGCCAGCAACAGCAGGAGCAGCAGCACCAGCAGCAGCACCAGCACCAGCACCAGCGACACCACCCTTGACGGCGACGGCGACAGCGACAGCGACAGCGACAGCTACAGCTACATCCACAGCTACAACAACAACCACTATTGGACGATGAGCGAGCGGGCTTTGCTCATTGCGGCGAGGCTCCTAACAGCAACAGCGAGCAAAAGCAACAGCCAACCTCAGCGGCAACAGCAACAGCATCAGCAACAACAACAGCAACGCCAACAACAACAACAACAACAACGCCAACAACAACAACGCCAACAACAACAACAGCAGCAGCAG